GTAAATGAGTCAATTTTAAAAAGTAAGAAATTGGACTTCGAAATCGTGAATTGAAACAAATTCAGATCCACGAAATAATTTATGGGACATCAGTTTAAAAAAAACATCAAGATAATGGACCTTTAAAAATATGTACTATTAGGCTTAAAAAAAATCAGAGGTCAGGAGGCGGAGTTCGGAACCGTCAATTTTTTTGTTCGAACTGTGCGTAATGAATCCAATGCTTGAATCGAAAAAGTTTATTATCTTCAAATTACGGAATGTGACCCACGAATATTGCAAGTTTGTATAATTTTTATGATAATTATTCACAGGGAGGAGAGGAATTAAAAAAAAAAACAAAAGTATGTTAGAGAATTGTGAGAAGAATCCCAACGGAATTTTGAGGCTAACTTCAAGGGAATTTGAAATAGAATTTCAAGAGCCTCAAGACAGTTCTGAGAAGAATTAAGTTCTGAAAGCATTCCGACGAAATTCGGAAGAAAACTCAGTACAAATTTAAAGCACATTTACATGAGAGTTTTGAGTGAAAACTAAGGGAATTCTAAGTAAAATACCAAGAGGATCGTGCGGAGAATTTCAGGTTAATTTAAAAGAGAAATTCAAAGGATTTCTGGAGAAATTTGGAGGGAGATGTGACTAGAATTCGAAGGTAATTTTGAACAATATTTCAAGGCAGTACTGAGTAGAATTTTAAGGACATTCGGAGGAGCATTGAAAGGGGATTCTACCAAAAATCAATGATTTCCATACACATAAGATACTAACGCTTTCAAAACATTATTTGAGTACATACACTGGTTTTATAACAGAAATTTGTCCTTGTAAATACCACCTGACGCTCATCGGTAAACTACATGAAGACAAATACCACTTTTATAACTTAAACCGTGAAAACTCTGAACATTTCAAGCTGAACTTTGGCTTAGGTTCTAAGTAACATTGATCGATTCTCTTCGTCGACTTTCTCTTTCGTTAACAACATGAGCACATAACCGTTTATTGTTGTGTTTGTCGTATTAGATGCTTGATGAAAGCTTCTTTTATCGATATGTGTGCTGAAAATACCTGAGAATGTATTAAGATGGCCGTGGTGATACAAAAAAAAAGACCACGAAGAGAATCTGTCAATGTTACTTCATAAACGTTGCAGATATCTTAATATCAGAATCTTATGGAGCCTTGGAAAATTTGGACCGTTACCTTTAGTCAGGTAGTAAATTGCATAAGGAATGTATAACCTGTTTGGGATAATTGCCTAAAACAGTAGTGCAGCTTTACTTCAGTTGATCGACTTTAAGTCAAGCTATTAATTATTTTGTGGACAAATTAGAAGATACTGAGTAGCACACATGATCGGTAAGAAATGGGTGTGTGAAAAAAATTGCGAAAATATCTACGGCTACCGGTGGGATTTGAACCGACACGGACGCATTAACAATTGTACAACGGGCACGTAATATTTGACTAATGACGTGTAGGCAATCAAATCAGTATCAGTTGATGATGAACAAACACAACTCAATGTGACTAAAGCGCCGATCAATCGTAGAAAAGTAAACATGCCTAGTAAAAGCCCACAGGGTAGCGAAATTACCGGATGAAAGCCCTAATTAAAAATCAAACTACATCTCAGGTTTAGGATATTTTTATGCAAATCAATCCCGATATTCGGACTAAGAAAATCCACTGCCTGGATAGTCTTCAGTCACTGGAGGAGCGGAGTACTCTCATCCTCGAAAGGTTCAGAGACGCCTGTCTAAGATCAAATCACGAGATCATATCATTGAATAGGCCCATTCATAAATATATTTAAAAAAAATAATACTAATGACAGTCTAGTCTAGGGGAGGAGGGTCTTAAGCTTCTTAAAAACTGTCAACGTAGTTCATCAACAGCCTCATACAGAAATGACTAAGTCAAACTCTAACTCTACCGAAAACTGCCAATACTTCCCAAGATCATGTACTTTCCAGAATAATCCCTGATGCACATCCCAAATGCTTTAGACAAACCTTAATGTATTAAACTGCCAACCATACACGACAAGCCAAGAATTATTGCTTACAGCCGATCCACGAGAATATCATGCTTGCCACAGCCGGAACAGCTGCTAGACAAAGAATGTTTAATTATTCCGAAACATTCTCCATCCAGACCGCTACTATCTCCGGCCAATATCCGCTGACCACACAAGGCATTAAATTAGTGGAATTAATACTATGTTCGCCACATTCACTCCGCTTTCGGTTTCGATTACAAACCACTCTCCTAGCTAGTTTCCCGTTATGCGGGCTTATCCTGCAAAACATTCTACGGTAACCATGTTCACAATTTATGCGAATGCGATTTATGCGGGTTCCGGACATCCACGCCCGTCTCACAATCCATAGCAAATGCTGTGTACATATATTGCGATTTAAACATACAACAGTTTACCTTAAAACTTTCATTCCACGTACCCGCAGCGAAGCAACAGCTACCCAGTGTGTTGGACATGATACTATCTGGCACCCATAATTTCCGCTCTATTAACATAAATGAGCCTGTAATCACCTCGACAATCATTTCTTCATGTACCCGTTGCTCTTCCGCATCATACAACCGCCAACGTCTTCGTTGCTTTTGTCGTCTCATCTTTTCTGCAGCCAGATTAAAAATAACATCCCTTATCTGGCGATTCACTCACCGCCACCGCCACATCATGGCTGCTGACTGTGTCGATGCCATTAAGGGAAGCAGACTTCCCTGTCAGTTTCCTCCGGTCGTTTAAGAAGAAGAATGCAAATTTATCCACTTGGAAAATTCACCCAAGAGGGGAAAGAGAACATCTCCCGGACCTGTGGTTTTTTTCCCTGCTAAGGGTGCGTACAAATATTACGTAAAACAAAAACAGTGAATTTTATTAATACACCCACCTCCTCGTAATGCACTTTTTCTATATCCCATAATGGCATGTAACTCGTTGACAGACTACTCCCACCCCCTCTTGCGTTACGTAATATTTGAATGAGCTTTAACTAAACATGTGAGAATATTTACGCTTCTATGCTTATCAGCATGTGTTTTTCGGAGACAAGAGAAGGATAAGTATGCAATTGAAAAAAATAGACGAAATGATTAACGAAACAAAGAATACAGGAACTCTACATGGATTACTGTTAATGTCCTAAAAATTAGCCCAAATACCTAACAAGAAAATATATGAAAGTTACAAGAAGACGTTGAAAAATATGTGTTTGACGTTTAAAACCTGTCAATTTAGCTTTCAGAGAGTAACAATCAGTGATTTTATGATCGCTGACTACCACTCAGTATCGCTTAGTGAGGAGAAAAAATCGCAGATTGTGACTCTCTGAAAGCTAAATTAACAGGTGTTATATGTCAAACACATACTTTGCAACGTCTTATGCCGCGGATACACTTGTAACTTATGCCGCGAATACACTTGTATGGCAAGCTATGAATGAGTTTCATCAAGCCTGCTTTAAGATAACTAAGAAAGAGGAAAAAGAAGCAGAGGAATGCAAAACAGTTCTGAAGCATAAGTCTCTAAATAATTTCGAACAACCAAATGACAATCAAGCAAAATCTGATAAGAGTTTAGAAACCCGGAATCCGTGTTACTTAATTCATATAGAACAAAACTAGGTTTTATTCTCTTTATCCGTCATACAGTCCGCGAAATTTCAGTGAAAATCAATATTAAAACTTGAAAACAACATCCAAACCTACGCTCAAAGAACACACTGCGGAACTTTCTCGTATCCTACCAAATACACACGCTAGCCGAATGGTTTCCAACCGCACAAGAATATAATGTACTGAAACGTGAAACAGTTCACGTGCGTTGCGTATCCCAGCACTAGAACTCGCCATAAAAGCATCTGGGTCAAACGATGCTGCTGTGTGACACCAATTTTTCTCAGCTCTTTTTCACTCGATTCGCTTTCCTCCTTTCCCCAGACTGCAAAATCATCAAACAGTACAATCTCAGTTTTTCATAAAGTCCTCGGAACAAACAGCTGAACCCAGTCGACCGTCTGCGATGCTGCCGGAAAAAACTCTCATTCCTTCTCCTCTCCCCCCCCCCCCCCCTTGCACGTTGCCGCTGGATCTCGCTTTTTATTACGCCATTAATTGGATTGGGATCCGAGGGGAGAAAAGCAAACGCTACTGTCCCCGAGTTTTATAATCTATTACGGCAGCATCAGTGCAGAACGGGCACACAGACGAACACGCCACCCTCACCCCATCGCCAATCATCACATGCTGGGATGGAAATTTTCCGCCGGCTGCCGGCTGGGGATGGTCAATTTTAAATCGATTTATATGAAATTTAGTAATGTTTATTTCTAAAAGTTTCAACCGATATCAGCATCTAACTTATATTGCGAATCGACTACCCTAGGACAGAGGGTTGGGCTGCAGTAACTGTAGGGACTAAATCGAAAAAAAACGGCAAATCTGATCGTTTGACCTGCTTTTCTCACGGGACGGATGTTTTACGGAGCTCAATCTTCGAAACCAACACGTACGCATGTTCCGCTACCACTCCGCCGCAGTCATCAGAGGTCGATTTTATTGTCACTACGCTCATGTTTTGGTCCAGATACGGCATATTGATATAGCAGTCACATCAGGAAAACATCAATTTAAACGATGCGTTTGATTGTTTTCCCGCCTGTCCGGAAGCAATCTATTTTTTATTGAAACGACCCAAACCTGTCAAAACTGTTTTCGTGTCGGTAGTGTCACGGGCATAGATAGACTATATAGACATGTATCTAGAAAACAAGCGCTGATAGATTTCCTTTTTTTCTCTACTATTCTAACGATTCAGAATAGAAGATATCTGCTAGTTTCGGTGGTGCCATTTATTTAACCCTTTTTCCTATAGGACATGTTCTGGCTCCCGTATGATGACTATGTGTGGGTGGGAGGTAGTCTATCAAATCTAACATGTTCCGTCTGGCTTCTCTGCTTTCTATCTTTTTCAGGAACAATGTCCGCTACCAGTACACCGCCCTGGACAGCGGTATCGGAGCACCGGATCGGAGTCCCCGGGAGCGGGCGGCACGGGATCGAGCCTTTACTGCATGTCAGGACTGGCTGCAGCACTCGGGAGGCCGATACGAAGCGATAGCACACCTAGATGACATCGGTTCTCGTTCGAACAAGCACTGGTTTCTGCTGAATGATTGCACGGTAAGTGGGGCAGTTAAAACGACATTACACTTAATGTTATTCTTGGGCGCGGATACTTCTTGCTATTGTTTTTTATTCCACACGGATTATTGAAACACGAAAATTATCAAAAAAATATTAAGTTATTATTAGTGTTAAAAGTGTTTTTTATTACTTACTATATTACTTACTGAATTTTACGATTTTCAGAGTTCGTTGGAAATGCTATACTAATATCAGCATGAAGCTTTAGTGTGATAATTTGTTAATTAGAGAAAGTTCTGAAGAGGTTAGGTTGATAGTTCCGCTAGAGTACGGCAGTCTGAAAATTGAATAGAGATTGCTAAAGTGTGATTGTGTCAGTGATTTGTTTTCATCAAGAAATTTTTTCGCCATGAAGTTTTTTTTCTGATGAAAACATTTTGCGGGACGTAGTGTGCATACGATACACGCCAGCAATCTCTATAGAAGTTGAAATTTAGCAAAGGGCCATAAATGCGACAGTACTAGTCAAACGCACACTCCTTCAACTAGCTCATACATTAATGAATGAGGGGACTTGAAAAATACTAATCTAAATGCAACGTATTTTATATCAGATGTTTCGGTCGTTGGACTTGGTCTAATCGCAAAAAAAAATACGACCTTAATCTAAAACTGATCTAACCCTGATTTGCTGGATCAAAACGTTGACGGTAAACAGTAAACAAAGCTTTTTCTTGTAAATTGAAAGACCGAAAAAAATTACGAATTCTTCTATTTTTTTAAATTTCCCAATTCTGAAATTTTCAGTGCTTCTTAACTGTTCTAAAAATTCTCTGAATTTCTCAGAACTTTTCAAATATTAGTGCTATTTTCCTAAAGTTTATTGAACTGCCTTGGAATTTATCGGTCCATGCTGAAGCTCCTGAAATTTACCAGACGTTTTTGATACATACTTTTTTGAAGCTCATGGAGCTTCCATTAAAATCTATAAAATTCCCTGAACTTCTCTAGACTTGCCAGCAGTTTTCGTACCTTCATGAAGCGCCCTACATTTTCAAGCAATTCTCTTACTTTCCACCAATTTTCCTGATGTTCATGGGACTTCTCTAAAGACCCAACAGTTGTTCAGAAATTTTAGGAACATGAACATGAGCATGAACACTTCTTGAAAGTTCCTGCAATTAATGCTCGGAACATGTAATTCCCGAAACTTCAAATATTTTCACAAAATTTTCCTGAATAATACTTAGTGTCCTCTCCCAAAACCTACACTGCCCTTTTCAGCATAGTTGTCCGATTTGTAAAAACAGCTAACTGAGAAAAACGTAGTTGAAGATTTTTTTCTCCGTGGGCTTTTATGGATGGGACAACATAGTTTTGGTATTTTTAGCAACAATTTCTGAAGAAAGTAGGAAACTTTTTGTGTTCATTGTAAAATGATGATACTTGACAATCGATGCTAATGTATAACTCATTTTCGCCAAAAATGCTAATGGAACTGTTATGCCGCACAGTTCAGTACAGATCTTTAAACTTCCCCGAAAGTCTTAAGATCTTAATTAAGATCTCGGTGTTTCCCTGGAAATCTTTCAATTCTACGATTCTCCAAAAGTTCAACAGACTTTTTAGATGATTTCATGACATCTCTGAAGTTTTCTGAATATCCTTGAAGTCATGAAACTTTTAAAAATTAACTGCAGTTTCTAAAGCTGATGAATACGCCTTGAAGTTGAAGCTGATATGCCCAAAATATTGCAGAAGTCCCCTTATTATCCTGCAGTCTGCTCATGAAAGTTCCCCGAAATCCTCTGTATTTTCGTTCATTCCGCTGAACTTATTCTACCATTTTTGTGGACCGTCATGAAGTTCTCAAATCGTTCCCGAAGTTCTCATTACTCTTCTGATGATGTTTCTATAAATGCTCTGAACTTAATAAAACTGTCCTAACAATCTATAAACTTCCTGACGATTTCTGAATCTCCCGAATTTCTCGTAGCTTCAGTGAAGTTTCCGAAATTTTTCATAAGTTTTTTTTTAACTTTCCTGATGTTCTCATCCATTTTTGAAACTTCTACGTTTCTACTTTTTTCCTGAATTTAATATAATTGTCCTAAGGTTTTCCAAATTATCCTGGAGTTTTTGTTTCTTTTATTTGCTGTCCGTTGATCTGGTTTTCCGTTGATCTTTTTTTTTTTTTTTTTAAGAGGTTTTTGGCTTGCCTCTTAGTTGATCTTGTTTTCCGTACTAAGTACCGATGCTACCGACGCTAGGGAGACAGCTCCTACACCTGGACCTTACCTATCAATCCATCAACTCATGGACTGGGGACCAATTGCTTTACTTCCCTTCCAAGACGTGATCAGAGATTTTATACCTCCGCAAATCCCGACGGCACTGGGATTGAACCCAGGCCCTTTGGAGTGAGAAGCAGTCATGCTTACCACTACACCACCCGTGCCGCTTAACCTGAAGTTCTCAGAACTTCAATAAAATTCTCCTAATTTTCCTGATAATCATGGTCTGAGTTCTTCATTTAAAATCATTAACTCAATTTAATTTTGGCAACTTCTGTTTCTGCAATTTTCCTGGAACTCTTTAATCATTATTGAATTTCTAGAAATTTTAGTGACATCTATCAAACTACCCTGAAGCTATCGGAACTTACCTGAATGATTTAAAAACTTGTCCGTAGTTCTGCACGTTCTTGAAGTTTTCGGAACATGAAGGTAGCCTGAAGTTTTCGAAGCTTCCTTAGAATTCTAAAAAAAAAATAAGAAATTCTCGTTCTTGAAGGTTCCCACATTTTTGTCATGTTTTTTTTTTCTTGATTTATTGTGCGTTGATCTTGATTTCCGTGACACCTGGGCTCTACGTATTGACCCATCAACGCATGAACCGGGGACCAACGGCTTAACTTCCCTGAAGGCGTGATAAGAGATGTTATGCCTCAGAACATCCCGGCGGCGCCGACTGCGATTGAACCCAAGCCTGCTGGGGTGAGAGGTAATCATGGTTACCACTACACCACCGCGCGGCTATTTATGTTATGTTAATGGATCTTTTAAAATTTTCCTGAAGTTCTCTGAACTTCATTAAAAATCCCGCAATTTGCCTGGCAGTCATGAGTCTCTCAACTTATTTAAAGTTTTCTGTACTTTGTCCTTGGAAAATTTATATAGTTCCTTGATTTTTTTTAGACGATGATGAGAATCTCAACTTCTTTAAAGTTTTCTGAACGTTGACCTTGGAAAATCTGTAAAGTTCTTATCTAACATAGGATTTAGGATAGGAAATTCGGAAAAATACCAAAACGGCAGCGATCATTTTTTTTGTTGAAAAAATCGATTCTCAAATGTGCATAAAAAATCGAAAAGTTGGAATATCTGAAAAATCATTCATTAGGTTTTAGATAATTAATTTTTACATCACGCACAGAAGAATCAGCTAAATAGATTGAAGAGTCTCCGAGATCCCTGTCTCGCAAGGTAAACCAATGTGGTTTCGAGATAAACGCGTTTACAGAGTTGATTTATTTGTATGAGCGGTTAACACACGACTAACAGAGACTTACATGCATTCTGCTATGCCATACACAACATACTAGAAGGTATAAGGATGCCGAAAATGCTAAACAAAAATTTCGATTTTTTGAAACCCATAAACAGATCCCTTAAGGTGTCTTTCTCCCACTTCTCCTATTTCCAAGAAAAAAAGTACTGTACTCCTCAGAAGAGCGCAGTAGATAATAAGTTCTACGCTTTTCTGGGGATTACAGTCAAAAACAAAGGCTGCATAAAGAGTAAAAGACTAAAAAGCTGAGTAGCTAAGCACTAATCTTATCTTACTGCAAGATATGGTACCTACTGGACACCTAACCCAATAAACAATTTGAGCTGCAGATTTATTTATACAGGCAACCATTAGCTATACACTAGTAGAAATTAATATAAGAACAATTTAAAAAGCATGGCTCCTCAAAATTTTAAGAATCAGAGAAATTTTTATTCATGTACGTTTAGAAGCCACATTATGATTCTACAATATTAGCCTAAGAAATAACCAATTGCATCATGTACGTAGGAGAAATAAATGGAAATGTGATTTTCTCCATCGGAAATAAATATAAGGACGCCATACAAAAATGTATGCGGAATTGGCCATTTTCGATACATTATTTAGCATGTCAACACCAAAATAATCAAAGAGTTAGTTCAAATAATCAATAAACTTCATTTCTGATAAGTTTTAAGCGGAAGCAATCGCTAGAAGTTCTCAAAAATCACCAAAAATCATTGGATGATCCGTGATGATCACATAGGAGATACATAGATGCCTCCGGTTAAAAGGTGTAACGGTAAATTGGCAATGTTTGAAAAATAATTGCTTAGCAATTTGTCAATAGATTTCAAAGCTATTGATACCGCATAAATCTTTTAAGTATGTAGTTCCGAATGGGGCTAATAAATTTTAAATTTATCAATAAATGGCTAAACTATGATTTTTCAAACATTGCAGGTGTGCCGTTACACATTTTACCAGAGGCAGCGTGTTCGGAGTGTTAACTACATACCAATTTTCCTATGTCATGGAGATTTGTCAATTTGATTATACTTCATTGGCCTGCCAAATCTATAAATCTATTGGCGAAGGCCATATTTACTGTAATTTAGTATTCTTCCAGCATCACCTAAAAGCACTCTGTTTCCCTTCCCAATTCCAGATACGTACGGACCGTCTGATGACACTGCTTCCATTACCTCCCGATTGCATTGCCTTAGAGGAGCTGCCTCCGTCGGAGTGCCCGCAAGGTATCCTGATGGAGCTGCTCGGTTCGCTGCAGCATCCGTACATCTATCCCGTGTTAGATTTAGGCTTTTTTCCTACCGATTCCCATCACTACGGGTGTCTCGTAATGCCCTTCAATGCGCGAGGCAGCCTAAAGGATCTCATTTATAAGGTAATTACGGGGTTCCCCACATGCTCTTACAATCCAATCTACGTTGAGACACAGGACGCAATGGTGATGTGAATAATCATCGCCATTGGTCGCGGGATTCAGCGACGCTCGAAGGGTAGAAAAAATATCATCCAACCGAGCTCTGGCAAATTAATCCAAACATAATTTAAAATTCAATTTTCTTTTTTATCACGTACACCACACTCCGTAGAGAATTGCTGTCATTTGATTGTTTTTATACATAATATAGCCTTTCTTTGTGCTTCACAATTCCGTTTTTTTACGCAAACCCATCAACGCAGTCCCAATGGAACGAACCGTGGAGTCGGAAGTATACACGAAAATCCACCTGCTTACCCCTGTCCCAGGTACAACGATTAGGACGTCAAATTTTAGAAGCTTTGTTATTTTTAAGGGAACGCGGTATACCGTCGCACGGTCATTTGCATAGCGGAAACGTTATCCTTCAGAATGGTGTTGCCAGGTAAGTTGCCAGTCGGATATGGGATGGAAAGGCATTCGTATATGTACCTGATTAGTGGAGTAAAACATTTGGCGCCATTTGATGGTGGCACGTGGCACCACTCATTTGGTGGTTGGCGAAAAGGTTCAGATGGACGGACTGTGGAAAGTTGTGTTGACCACAGCCAGCGCTCATTTCCGGAGGTTGTTTCGTTTTATAGTGTGGCTTCCGTATGTTTTATTTTAGTTCGTTGTTTATGTTGTACCACTAGTAGGAAAAAAGAAGATCTGACTTTTGAAATATCAGCCTTTGAAACTGTTAAGCTACATAGCATTCTCTTCCTGGTTTTCTTTTCAAATTTTATAGCACTCAGTTGTAAAGCTACTGAAGAAATTAACTGGTTATTGAATAATTCGCACTAATAAGCTAGTTCATATTTGCAATATGTATCCAGAATGTTCATTGATGATGAATATTCAGATTACACAACCAAAATCAAGATGTTATCAGCAGGTTTATATATATAATGATCATTTCATGTGTAAGTAGGGTTAACTACCCCATTTCCGGCAAATTTAGCGCAACCCGCACTTAGGCTTCCTTAATCTAGCGCAGTTTAGCACCAAACGGAATGTTATTATTACTGATGGCTTCCAAATTAATTTACCTTTCCGTAATATTTGATAAAGAGAAACCAATCGTTGAGATATTGCCAAAAGTCTAACACTGCTTCTTGACGCCAAACTCGGCCTACGGATTCTAAACTTGGCCTAACGCATTGAAACGCGAATGAATTCACTTCGGCCTATCGGATGAAGATAAAAATTGATTCGGTCGGAGCGCTTCTTTTGTTTTTGAGAATAATGGGTGCAAACATTCATAACACGCGTTCTCATTGACTTCGTTCGGTAGCTTATTAACTAAAGTATCGTACCAAACGCATAATTGACTTGTTAACTCTGAAATCGTGGATTTGTTTGAAGTTTTCTGCTCGATAGGCCCAAAATGGGCGATTAGGCCGAAGTAGTTCTCTACCCTACATTAAAACTTCCGATTGGCATCATCATCTAGAACTGCAGGCGTATTCAAATGTGGCTAATAATGCTAATGATCAGTATATCTAGAGATGGTTGAACATTATTGTTGACAGTTGATCTTCTGCGTATCTGCTTTAATGATCGATTTCATTGAGTAGGTACCTACTTTCAATGCCTTTAGCTCAATTAGTGTTGTGTTGCGTTGCGTTTGTAACGGAATAATTCGTAGATTGCATACTGGCAACTGTCCTGTATCTATTTAGGAAAATTATTTGGGAGTGAATACTACTCAGTAAGCAAAAGCGGCAAAAGCGGCCAAGCTAGCCGAGCTCCTCAATTTAAATGTTAAGACCTTATTTGCTAAAATTTTTTTAAATACTGATTGAAATATAATGTAAACAAATAAAAAGGAAGAGTCTCACCCGAATGATCTGTAGTTAGCCCGTCTTCTCATGTTTCCTAAGCTGGATTGAAATGCATCTCCCAAATGCAGCACTATTTCGTTAATCCAAATAGCCTTGGTAACGTATGATCCCAATTGCTTAACGGATACCAATATGAAATGGTCCCGTCTTTGGTTTTGAGAAGAATGGAAGTAAATAATCATATTATGCGTTTTTATAGACTTTATTTTGTAGCTTTTGTAGCTCATTCTCAAATATCATTCATTGAGCCTCCCTGTGAGAATAAACTTTTATGCGAATATAGCAAATCAATCTCACGCTTAAGATCAGTCTTGTAAGTGGTCACGGTAGTCGACACATTTTCTGTGATAATCGACTGATTTAGCCTCCAACATTTGCAAAACGAGCTATCAAAGTACAGTACCAAACTAAAATGTCATATGCTCTGTCATACGATACTGTCGCCGAAGACCGTCACGAATGTATGTATTTTAGTTTTTCTCATAATAAGAGCTGCTTATGTTGTGATTGTGTGAATTCTGAAAATAACAAGCAAAGATGTCCTAGTAATAACATTTCTGATCAGAAATGTTTTATTTTACACAAAATTGAGGAATTAGAACGAAATCACACATGATGATATTCTACCGTTTGTGTTGTGCAAGAAAGACGACAGTAGAGCATGAGTGTACGAATACAAACAGACTGTCGTGTACGTCAACTGTTTCAACCCTTGCTTAAGATTATCATGGATTTTCACGCACTCACATTCTCCACGTCAACAATTCATTCCAGCCTAAAACTCATAAAAATCGCTCAAACAACATTTGATGGTATGCTCATGCATATTGTGTTAGTTTTTTATCCACTGATGCAAAAATAACAGTAATCACAATGAATAAAGCCAAAATCTAAAGAAATTGAATTTTTAAACCTGAAAATTCATCAGTGATTTTAGCACAGTTGAATTTTTAAATACAAAAGTCATAGGTGAATAAACTCACGCATGAGATTTGAGCTATTCAGTTTTCCGAACACTGATCGTAACAAACATATATAATTGATTCGTTCAATTCGAAATCATTGGTATATTTGATGTTTCTGCTCGATATGACGGAAATAAGCGCTTATTCCGAAGCAGTTCTCTACCCCACGTAACACTAAATGTTTCTATTTTTGAGTTGTCAATGACAGAAAAGCTATCTGACACACAGATTAAATAGAAAGGCTGTCGAATAGAATGAGATTACCGACAATAGTAACACTAATCTAAGAAGTTTAGAGCGCCTTCGGCGAAACGTCCTTCAGCGAAACGTCTTTTGGCGAAATGTCCCGGTCCCGTTTTTTTTTTCAACTAGCTATATGGCTAAAAATCTCTATAATAAAGAAAAAACATCAAAATTAGGGCTTAACTGTTAGGAACAACTTTTTAGAAGACATTTTTTTTTTAATAATTCAATTTCAGGCTCTAAATGCATCTTTCCTGTTAGATTCATATTATGGGCCACTGTGAATTGGCACAGATTTTTTTCCCATTTTGTGTGAAACTTTGCGTAGTTGTTTGATATGGGCAATAATTCACATTTCTGCAAAAATTCGGCAATTTTGGATTTTATTATTTTGTTGATAGTTCCGTTATAGTACGGCAGTGTGAAAATTGTATATAGAAAGTAGAAAGCGAGCAAAGGACAATTTTGAGGAAGGTACGAATCGGGTCGAGCATCTCCTATACCAAACTCATCCGTTGATGACCGATGGTGAGGAGTGTACCCCCTCCCCCTCTACCACTGGCAAACCGATTTGCTCATGTAACTCCGATGTTTCACACTCAAGTCGCCATATGACGTAAGCATCTAATCTTGAAGTCGTGAAAAATTTGAAAGTTTTATGTTCCTAATAGTTCGTTGTGCTATATTTAGATGGGGGAGTTTGGTAAAGGGAGTGATCAATTCGATTCGTACCTCAGAATTGTCCTTTGCTTGCTTTCTACTCTTTATATACAATTTTCACACTACCGTACTATAACGGAACTATCAACTCTATCCTAGCATCTCTTCGTCTATCGTATAAAATGTTCACTTTAAGTCTTATATTGACGTTAAGCATCTACAGCTAAATGATTTGTCGTTACCACACCATCCACAGTACTGAAAACATATCCACTATTTAGGAGGAAATCTGCTGTTCTGTAGTGATTGTAAACGCAAATTGTCACGGACCAAGTGCGTCGTTTAGTAGCAACTCAAATAGTCGTGGCCACACAATAGGGATGCTACTTTTGAGCTGACGCTTCCTGTCCTAGCTACGCAGTAAAGGAGCGCTTTTCAAAGGTTTAGGGAGCATTTCTTCGTTATACTAGTACGTTTACATAGCTGCCCATTGTAAAATTCTTTCATGTAAGGTTCTTAATTTTGCCTATATCCCTCTCCGCTTAACTGCCTTATTAAACCACAACAACCACCAATATTGTTGCCATGTAGTTCGTATGTACCGTTTGCTACCGTCAATGAGATAGACATATCTCTCTAGCTACTCAGCCGGAGCGGCATGGCTGTTTGTGACAGTGGTGGTTCGGAAATGGGTAACCACTTTCTTTCATGTTATTTGTCGTCTCGTGCCTTCCTGTGGTCACGCGATTCAACCTCTAGGACCAGCGCTATAGAGAACTATGGTTGTCAAGCTTGTTTCGCCACCTTCTCGTTCATGGTTCATTACACTCGGTTAGTTGGAGGCGCCTGTTAGATGAATACCTGACAGTTTTGCACGTTGTCCGTTTTCTGCAATGAGAGTTATATAGCATTAGAACTGGCAGGTGTCTAATTTCACTCGTTCGCTCAACGAGTTGGTCACTTACAATTCTTCTATTGGCACTTTATTGTTAGAAAGCACACAGTGATGATGTTAGAAGTGATTGATATTTTTATGATAGGTGGCATCCAATCAAAGCAGTAGTAGACCTCTATTTTTATGACTGGAGACAATGCGCTATCAACGATTTGTCAACATGCAAACCGAAGCAAAGAATCCATGCGTAATATTGATATTGGCAAGTACCGCGCTACTACGACATATATGCTATTAGTAACATTGTGTGGCGCGCGAAATAGAAACACCACGAAGACACCAAATCAAATAACGTGCGCTCACGTGGATAAGACAAGGACATTGGCAATAAACCTTGTCGTACCGCGCACTGCTTGTTGTTGTGTCTAGCCGTTAAGGGTCGTGACGGTAATCCTCTAGCCGCGTGATCGGAATTTAGCACTTGTTCAGAATTTGGTACACCAGAGCGCGAACTCGCGATGATGTGCAAGTATTTAAGCCCAAATCACTGAAAACACGTGGCTCGCGTGAACCAGTGCGAATGCGAATACTTAATGAATATGATAAACGTGGTAGCGATAAATCAGATTTAATTCCTAGAGGGATAATCAATTTACTTGCTACGATGATGAGAGCCAGTGGAAAAACGCTGATAAGCGAAAAGTGATTGTGGAAATGGAATTGCACTCGAGTTGAATTTGATTTAATAATTAGGAGCACTGGATATAGGTACCGTAAAACGGGGTAACATTGATAGTTTTTTAAAGTATATTCTAAATATTTTTTACAGCAATGAATGTTTTTTTTTTAATTTTAAAACAAGTACTGAGGATCCAAAAGCTAATTCGTTAGTAATATGTTGAACGAAAATTAAAGCATTTGTACTATTTTTTTTAATTTTGTGAACAAACTTCAGTATTTTGATTTGGGGTTACTTTGATAATGCTCCATGAATGTAGAAAAAAAATGAGTGAAACTCAAACAATTTAGGTCTTTAAATATCAAACTTTGATTGAGTATATAATCAGAAAACTTCATAAGCAATAAGAATACAACATTGAATTTGTGATGGCTGTATCGGAAATACATTTCATAAGTGATGATTTGAGTGCTTTTTCAAAAAGGCGAAAAACATGGAAATGGTTTTTTAATATTTTTGTAAAATATGTAACACATACTATATAAAACTATATATGATATCAACGGAAATACCCTAAGCTAGCATATGGAACCAATGTTTCTTATTTGGAAAAAGCACAGCGAGTAAATTTATTCTTTATATTATACTATCAAAGTTACCCGCATTATCAAAGATACCCCGTTTTACGGTACATGAAAATGCTCAGAAACATGCTGGTTATCACCGCAAGGTCAGGTTGGATGACAATGAATATTGAAAGGAGTCAATTCTCACTAGTTTAGTAAGGATTAATTCAATAGCGGAACAGGTGAAAATTTCATGGAAACTTTTAGGATAAGTTTGGATGACTTCAAAAGCAAAGGGTATGGTCAATGTTGAGCCTGAACGATTTTTTTGGTATTTACAAACAGGCCCTGTATATTCGCTTCCAGATCCGGTGTGAGATCTTCACTCAAAGATAATACTCCGAACCATCAGGTACATATTATCGAGTTTAACCAATCTCACCGGCATGTCAATTTTTGTTTTCAACCGTTTACCAACCATTAACTTTCATTTTCCCGCAGATTATCCGGCCTGGAAAATGGCCTGCTCGGACTAAGCTCCCGGGTCAACGCGGTAGTATGGGCCCGCTCGGCCCCGGATATCGATAACATCGACGTCATCTGCTTTGGCCACTTGCTGTTCGAGATGTGCGCCGGCTACGAGCTGACCTCACCCCAGCCAACTCCAGGACATTATCAGCTTGATCTCGAGCGCTATCCACAGGTTGTATGAAAAAAGCTCCCCCATAGTATATCACCTTGCCTAGTCCTTCTAGCTACATAACACAAACCTTACCAAACCAGTAACTGACTATTATCAGTGTCGTCACACAGTTCAGTACCGTCAGATTCAGCGCGACACCCTTGAATGGTATTTTCACGTGGACAGAAAACACCAATAGGAAAAATCTGCCCCACGTTGCTGTTAAGCCAAAGAGAATGAATAATGACCGTTGACATTTTGATTTCACCTGAGTCTCCGTTGCTAACCTGTACTGACACTACTGTGATCTAGCTGTGTCTTCATTGATTCCGTTTTTTCTGTACTCACTTCATTCTGTATTTATTTCAGGTCGTTGACGTGCTGCAGATGATATTCGAATCACCAGATGGTCGCTATCCAACAGTCGAAGAACTGGTCCTTTGTGATATATTTCGCAATATCGATTTAAGAGAACTGCGAGGAACATGTGTGCCTGTAAGTTGCTTTCTCTTAAAGCCTTTTAAGCCTTCTGATTTTTTTTTTATGATTTCCTGATGGGGAATTTAATTAAATTATTTGATATTTAAATAGATTTAACTATCCATGGAGCTATCCATAATTTGTACGTCCATTTAGCTACTCACGATGAAGTTCAATTTGTGAATCATAGATGATGGAAATGTCTAATAGATATCTTGGGCTGCTCTAAAAAAATACAATTAATTTTAGGCTTGAATTTGTATTTTGTGAGGAACTTAAGATAAATTGGAAATCTGATTCTCAAAAGTTTATCCTAGTTTATTTTTGTTGAATAAAAATTTGAAGTGGGTATTTTTATGTATTAGAATACAAAAAACAATTGAGCCGTAAAAAATCTGAGAACGATCAACAAAATTTAATTGCCATGAATCTTGAAATTTGGTCAATGTTTCTCAACCTTAACTGTTTTCTATCACAATTTTGTTTATTTTCAACATGGGATCTTGGAAAAATTATGATTCAATACCTTCAAAAATTTCCTAAATTCTAACCTTTGCAAAGTTTGAAAATAACATTAATATGATTTAATGTTATCTGTTGATAGTTTGGAGGCCACCCAGCCCAAGGCTGAAAGCCTCATTAATAAAGTTAAATAATAATAATATCTGTTGATACTGAAATGATGAGAAAAAAAGAATAAAGAATGAAGATCAAAGAATAAAGAATAAAGAAACTCCCAGAATTTTAAAATTTTACTAAGATAGGAATCTTTAAAAAAATGTTTGATTTTTTTTTCTAGTTCAACATTTGCCATTTTTTGGACGCCACTTTCTGGGAGCCTAGTCCAGAGTTCTTAATGTGACCAGCAATGAGCTTGTTTTAGAGTTCTAATGTGTTCTTTTATGCGCCGCATGATAGGTTTTGGCTCTAGTTTGAAACTGGTCACTCCCTCGGGGTGGATCTGGATGTGACCAATGTAATTTTGAACACCCGATATGTCCCATTTGGACCATGATGATGGGTTTTGGTCCTAATCATGAACTGACTACATCCTAGGGGTTACCCGCAACATGGGCGGATGTGGCCAATGTGCTCCTGAGCTGTCGGTTTGTTTGTAATTGATCTCGTTGTTTTGTGTAATTTGATATGTAGCTTGATGGGTTTTGGTCCTAGCCAGACAGTGGTCACTTCCTCAGGGGTACCCGGAATATGGCCGGATGTAGCCAATGTGGTCCTAGCCAATCTATTTAGGTTTGAGACAATTCAGATCCCTTATAGTATCAAGAACCATAATCACCGGCACCAGTTAACCGATTCATTTGGCAGGTGTTGCGTCCAATTCAGTGCTGAGAAACACGACTTACTTTATTCCGTCACGGACGCTCACAGTCACATCATAGAGGTAACTCTAAGACCACTGGGTCCCGAAGAAAATCATTATTATTTTTGGCTCACTCAGTACCAGAACAACGGTCCCAAGCAGTCCCAAGCTATTTCACTCACCCCTGCATGTTCTGCATGAATCCACACACCCCTGATGTTATCTGTCAAACTTTCATAGCGAATCAAAACAAACATAGTGTAGTAATAGAATTTCAACTAGAATAGGGTACGTTAATCGTTTGCTTGGGACCAATAGGCTACTAAAGTGGTGAGCCAATTTAAAATCGTTAGTTTCGTATTGATTGTTGATCACATGCAGTACTGGATATTAAAAATATTTTTTTTGTCTCTCCCTAAAAATCCAAAGAACTGTTATCAGTCATATGTGTGACTAGATTGGCCATATCTTTAAGAAGTTTGTAGTAAATCGAATCTTATTTGATTGCCATTTTTCAATCTATTATTCCTTGAAGTCTACAAATTTAATCGTTTGTGGTCAATGTCATTCTTTCAAACTGCTCAAAATTTACTAAAATTTGTTCCGAGGCAAAAAAGCATGGTGTAATATTGTTTCTGACCAGTACTGTACACTAGGGTGGGTCAAAATTATATGGCGGATCACAACTTCCAGCGCCCCACACAGCAACTGTGCCAAATTTGAATGCATTCGATTCAGCATTATCATCCTTCTGGAATTCATTGGGTAGATTATGCCTAACGTCCTTTATGCCCAACGTCCATTATGCCTATCGTAACGTCCGTATGCCTAACGTCGTGTACCCCTGAAAAGAATTCCTATGGAATAGTAATAGCAAATTTGAGTTGAATTATATTTTAGTTCTGACTCAGAACGTCTGAGGAGAGGTCCATGGGGATTGTGAGGAGAACTCTAACGAAATGTTGAGAAAAATTACAACTGAATTTTATGTAGAATTCCAACGAAATTTCGATAAAAACTCCAACGACATCCAACTAGAACTCCAAGTAAATTTTGATATGAAATAAAAGCGGACCTGAATCTGAGGATTGTTTTAAAAGATTGATTCTGATCCTGATCTTTTTTAATGGCATTAGGAGGAAGATTCCAAAGAATATCAAAGAACTTCGCAACAAACAAGTGCTTCGCAAAAATGCCTCGCCGCCCCTCCCTCCCTGAGATGGCGCTTATGTCTGTAGCCCTAGCGTGCGCATCAGGAGGAGGGGGGTAGGGGGTCAAACTCGCTGTAGATTACTTTTAGTCTAATAAAAGGTGTTCCACAATTTCAAAACCAGCTCTAAAATTAAGAGAATTACTGACGGTGCCATTTTTCTCCTCTCTTTTTATAAACATGACGCTTGATTCAATTAACAAGATAAGAAGCACCATTTTCAAGTTTAGCCATATAGGTAGCAAACCCTCACTACGAAGCTGCACAGAGCCAATAAATGTTATTATTGTGGAACATTCAAATGTTCCAAAGTTGGATATTAAATGGATGGTCAAACTTTACCGGGAGAAAGATTATGAGATTTTTTCTACTAGAACTTCAAGAATTAAGGGTTTTAATTATTCTTTCCCTAAAAAATCTAAAATCTGATAGAAGGACGTCCCACAACTGCGAGACTATATATGCGATTAATTACTCAATATTATTCCTACGATTCCTTCTTCTTATTTCCGAGAGAAACGGATTTCCGATACAAAAAAAATTAATTAAAAATATATGGAAAATCCGTTTCTATCGGTTTTGGAAAAAGGGGCAATTACTACCACCGACACACAGTTGGACCGTACAATATTGATTGTATTAGTATGTTTTGTTTTTTTCTGAATTAAAAAAAATCTATCTCAACAGAAATATTGAATCACACACTAACTTTTCTTCCTCTCTGTTCCCTACATGTCATGACCCAAACCTCACGCACGTGCTTTTCGGAACGGGCAGTCCTTCAAACATGGTTTGAGTAGCTCTACGTTGAGTCTGTTGAACGCCGTACGGAGACGACAGGGTGCGATACTAAGTGGATCATACAGCGAAGGCAGCTCGCCGTGCACTCCACCGTCGACGCCACGTGAGCGCAAAACCGGGTGTGTAATTTTTGTCTGAACGCTTCTTTCTAAAACAAAAAGCTTTGAACATGCAAAATATATACATATATATCTACAACACCCTCCAAAACAAAACTCACTTTTCCTACACACAGCTACACTTTTTATATTTCATGGTGTTGGGTTCGGTTTCGACTTCTTTCTCCGTTAGGTCTTTATTTTTGTTTTTAATGCGTGAAAAAAATCATTTCCTTCGTAAAACCGAGAAAAACCCAACACCGTTTATGTTCTTTTCTTTTACGTTCGGTAAATGGAGAAGAGAAGCATTTTATTTTATTGCCGTTACACGACTGTTTGCTTCATCTGTAAATGAATATTTCCTTTGAAAGCTTTCTTCGTTTTCTGTTCTATACTGACACACTGTATCTCTTCTTTCTTCTTTTCTTCGCCTTCATCCAAACAAAAAATACGAAAAACCGTCTTTATCATCCGATGTTATGCCAATTTTCGCACTGCCACACTCTCTCAGTGACAACGATGATGTTGCTGATGATGATGATGATGATTATTGGAAAACAAAATCCCACACCCACAGCAAGCAAAAAACAATATAGCACTCGTATAACAGCTTTCTCGCCACCGAGCAGAAAGTTAAATTCCTAGGAAGGAAACAGAAGCTTAAACGATTACGTAGCACAAAACGGGTGGGACACCAGGGTTCACCACCGTCACCGCTTCCTTATTACTATGGTTGTCGTTGAAGTCATAGTTAGTATGTTGAACACAGCAGCACAATCCACGAACGGAACAGTTTTCCCTTCTCTCTCTCTATTTTACCAATCTCGGTTAATGTATATCTATCGAGCACCTTACTGAAATCGATCACATTCCACCCGAGCCGTGGTTTGGACCCACATCTAGGTAAACGCCCGAATGACAATGCACAGTGGGGTACAGAAGGAAAAAGCCTCATTTTCCAAACTATTCAAATTTCATTAAACATTTGGACAATTATTGTTTACAACTCACAGTCAGCATTCCTACAACATAGTCAATGGATAACCACAAATCATACTCCTAGTTCTAATCAAAGAACATTTTGGTGGAAACTGACAACTTTTATTTCTGGCCGCTAACTATAGTTGGGCCCTGTTCTGGATACCCTAATTGATTAAAGAAGCTTTTCTTAAAATCCAGAAGTCACCATCTCATCATATCTAACTCTGTCCAGCACAACAAACAGGGCACGTCCTGAGAAACCAGTTTACTTACGTTTCAATTTTATGCGCAAAAAGTGTTTCAGATAAATAAATTAAAAAAAAACATCTTGCAGTACGCTATGAAAAATTCATTTAGATGTTAAGATGTCCATGTCAGGAATAACATATACATACAGTCATCATTCGCTCGTTGGTGGTTTTCACGTTGAGGTGCTTATTAATTGGGATTTCGCTAATTGGGTGACGTCTCAACCAACAAGCAGTTGTCTTACAGAAAATTATGTCTAACTAGCTTTGACATTTTAATGTTGCTTCTTGGAATTATCTAGTGAGCTATTTTTCATGAACATCTAAAGTTTGACAGCTTCCAAACCATCCGGTAGATGGGATGATATGGCGTCCAAGCCAGCAAATGATCTGAAAAGATAGAGAGTTGGTGTCTTTGGTGATGATTCTTGAAGGCAAGTTTTCTGTAACAATTTAAGATTGCTTTGAATAAGGTGAAAATTAACCTTGCACTATGTTGTAGGATGAAAGGCTGTATGCAGATACCCAGTTTGATTTAACCTTCCTAATGCATTAGGAAAAATTTACACAGTTTTTCCAGGCCTAAAATTACCCTAATGCACTAGGAAGGCTAATATTCTTTCAAAATTATTGGAATTTTCAAGCGTTTTTTCAAATCTCACAGGCGAAACCCCACTGTGAACTGGTAAAATTTTCCTGACAAAAAATAAGTCACATTCATCAACTTTTTCCCCCTCGTTCCAGATTGGCCCCCTTCTGAGGTTGATAGGCAATCGTTAGGATCGTAGAAACAAGCAAAAAACTAGATTAAAACTTAAGTCCCCCTGTCTCAATTTAGGAGCATTTCGAAAAAGTCAAGCCATTACCCAGCACCTCGCTGGCAGAGTGCAGAGTAGGTCTAATAAATAATATACACCCGATACGCGACGATCCAAGTTTCAGAAAAGTAAGTAACATTTTTCCTGTGCTCTTGTCTTTCCGAGAACTTTTTGGTTTATTTGATTTCTTTTTGGTTGCCATTCACCTGTTCAGCCTCAAAGCCTATCGCATAGAGCTTGTAGGAGCAGTTTCCCTTTCCTATCGCAAGAAAATCAAACAGTGATCAACAGTTTACAAGTTTAGGTAGCTCATTGATTTTGTTCTCCTCCGAATGGTCTACTGAGAATCATTGTATCTTTGTGGTACAAAATAGCATGAACTTATCAATATTCACCAAGAAAAAAACACGGCATAACATTCGATTGATAAAGGCAGTGCACTCCTCGAAAGAATAATACAAAATATTTCATTTCATAAAAATACAAGCAACTACCAAATCCCATATCTTCAAACAAACTCAAGTCATATAAAACTAACAAGTCCCAATTACTCAGTGTGATAGAATAGATCAAATCCCTACTCTCTCAAAAAATAGTCATCCGAATTTTGTGTTTCTTAAGAATCAATGTTTTAGCAAACAAATAAATCTAACAGTATAGAGAGACCTAACCTCCAAAACTCCTCCAAGAAAAACAAAAGAAATCCATCCGTGTATCATCCATGCCCATGATTGTCGTACACTACAGAGAATAGAACCAAAACTTGCGCTGCATGATTTACCACTCATATGGAATCAAACATCTGCATCATCATTTATGTTCTAATTCTTATGTTCTTTTGTTTCCTAAAATATTCTTAGCAACCATCATCAAGCATATTATGACGAGTTTGATTTTCGACTGGCCTAACCAACTCCTTAAACAATCACTGAAAAAGCTCTCTGTGCTCTCTGTTAATGCATTGACAAAAAAAATTGCTATCAAATTAACAACAACGAATATCAGCTGATTGTGAGCAAAAATGATTTTACAATAGGTAAGAACAACCAGATAAATATTTGCTTTAACTAACCCATATGCTAGTGAGTGAACGTTAGTGCTAATTATGAAAAAAAATTGCTAAACTGACTCGTAGTCTGAGTTAACCTTTTCGTCACATAAAAAAAATGCATTTGTCAGTTCTTAACCCATTTCGAAGAAACAGGTTACAAGGGATCAAGAATTGAGTTTTTAAATATATATTTTTTTCCAAATTGTTGATTTGTGACACTCACTCGCTGGAGCATTACGGAGCCGTGAATTATATGTAGTAACTTTATGAACAAAATTTAAATAGACGTAGGAGTGTGGGACCAAATACTGGGGGCTAACTCGAGGTTAAAGGGGTTACATTTTTTGTTTGAGGATATGATGAGAGGAGAAGCTCGAGCCTTGGGTTTCATGTTCGCAGTCGAATGTAGTCGGCAGCCCGTTAGTGTTAGTGAAGTCCAGTGTACCCTGGTTTCTCGTCTGGAGTTCACCCGGGTGTCGATGGACGAATACAAATCCTACATTTGACATACGAAGAAAGTCGTAGATACAGCATGTTGCAGAGATTGTGATTCCCTGTCATGTGAGAATAATTGTTGATTTACTTTCAAAATATTTTGAACAATTGCCATTTTTATTTTCAAATAAAATTGAAATTAAGCTCAACCTGAAGGAATTCTATAAGCAACTTCGGTTCAAATTATATGCAAATCTCGATTGATTTGAAACTGCTTCATTAAAATCAACGAAGGACTAATGAAATGGGAGCAACATATATAACGATAAAGTTATATTTGATTTTATAGGCCGAGAACCTTTGCAGCCTAGCGTTTTTATTTACCGACCATATCTGGCTACCCAGGAATTGGGAAAATCCTAATAATCGGGAAATAATTTTATCCTGTGGCCAGATATAATGTTTATTGATTTAGAACTTCTACTGGTCGGCTTACGAAGCATAAACATATTTCAATAACCTTATTACGATGTTTTTCCTTTTAATTCTACTACTATTGTATCACTTTCACTAATTCACTATTCACTTTCACTATCACTTTAAAAAAAACTATAACAGATACGTATTTCGTTTACTACTTGCAAATTTCTTCGCAGGGGAAATGGCTCTAATGTTGGCCTTTGGATCTAAGATTGGTCCCTTCGCTAATAATCTGCTATTTATCAATTTTATCTAGATGAACTCGTCATTGGGACGATACTAATGGATATTTTTGGTCGCTATTGAAAATTTAGTCGATTGCTGAATTTATGTATGGGCCCAAATTAGGAGCATTAAGGCCGATATTAAATCCATTTCCCCGAGTAAACAAAATACGTATCTGTTACAGTTTTTATTAAAAGTGAAAGTAAATAGTGAACGTGAATAATGAATTAGTGAAAGTGAAAGTGATACAATAGTAGCAGAATTAAAAGGCAAAACAACGTAATAACTTAGAATATTTAAATAAATTTTATATTTTGTTTTCATCCGGAAGATTTGAAAAACTTCCCCCGAATAATTGTCTTGATTTGCCGTCGTTTCCCCCGCAAGATCTTTCGGACAACTTTTTGAAGTTTCTTCAAGCTTCCCCTTGACGATTTTGAACTGCTTCTTAGAAAGGATTCTTATGATTTCTCTCGGAAGTTTTTTTTTCCGAATTTGCATGGAAGTTTCTTCCAACATCTCCCGGAACTTTTCTCCAACTCCCCTTTTCGCGCGCAAATTGAAGTATATCAACGCAAACCAACAACACCATCTGGTAAGATAAATTCTCTGATTTTAAATCGATTAAGCGGGCTGGAGCGACATCGATATTTTGAACTACTCTAATACAAGCAAAATTTGAAATCTGAAACAATTTCAAAAAGAAAAGTTCAAGGAATTTTTAGAAGTGTTTGAAAAGAGTTCGGAGCAGAAATTCAAGTTATGAAAAAAACGCAATTAAAGGTTTGAACCGCAAATAACCCTATATACGCGATTTAGGCCTTTTTTTTACGGATATGAGGATGATTAAAGTATTAAAAACCCCAAAATGCACTTTAAAAACATGAATTACGCCGTACTTACGGAGACGTGCGTCATTAAAGAATTCGGACGCCAAAAAAAAATTTCGGTTTAGGTCATATTTACAAAGATAAAATCTTTTTTTTTTACTTATTTACATGAAAAAGAGTATTTTTAACTTTCGAACCCTAAAACACTCTTAACAACGCGATTTCTGTCTCATTTACGAAGCTGAACGCGATTACAAATTTTGAACACCAGAGCACCCCTGTAAACTCATTTGGGAATTGTTTACGGAGATGCATTTAAAAACGTATATTTAATTATAATTATTTATACATCCAAACTCCTCTATGTTCGTAATATTTAAAATACCTACTAAACAATTATTGAAACATTGAGTTTTATTTTGTTCATCAATAATCTGAAAGTGGGTTTTGTTTCTCACCTTAGCTCATACCAAGAATTCAGTTCAAAGCATTCCAACGAATATCTATAGTTCTAGAAAACAACCAAGCGTCTCCACTATAATGATAAATGTTCAGGTGGAGCCACACAGTTATTCAATAATGACTAAATGTTGATAAATAAAATTGTTAAAACAAAGATCAAAAGATAAATTAACCTACACGCCAGCACCGGATGACCTTGACCTCTTTTCGAATTGACCTTATTTTCCACTCATCCACTCACATAATCATCATTCATCCCTTCCATTCTACATCGCAAACTGCAACCGGCAGCGCAAAGTACCTATCATCGGCTAATCCGCTGAACCGTGTCTATAATTGAGTTTACGACGTGATCCTCCCCTACCTGCCCGCGAGTCCATTCCGATATCTAAACCACGCAATCAATCGCGCGTCAACCTCAGCCATTATATGTAGCTTTATTGCATTTACTAAAAATAAATTCCAACCAACCTGTAGGCGGCTTTATCCCGTTGCCTGAATGTTTGCTTTTCTTTTTTGCCCAATCATGTGTATCAAATTGTTGTATCCCATAGCGCTCTAAATGGCCTTGTCAAGTAGTAGTTCTAGATTGTTTTGATCCTTTTATCCCCCTTGTACACACTCTCGTTTATCGGTATTATATCCTGACCATGCTTTGAACCCTCATCCTCAACATCCACACTAGCATATCCAGCTGCAGTAATACACCCAGCCATAATATGATATTCAAAGAACATAGCATTCAAAGCAGACTTGGGTGGCGAACCCAGGCTGCACCGGACAGTTTCTATAGCGGTTCATTTAAATGTGTGATTTTTTTTCATGAATTCAATGTTTATTCGACTGAAAAGACGATTCATGACGATGAAACTAGAACATTTAGCCATGTTTTTAAAAATCGTGGTTTTTTAAGGCATGGTTCTAATGCAATAGTTCTAATTTCTTCGCCAAGTTAGTTCTTCATTCGAATAAACATTGGATTCATGAACAAAATATTCATTTCAGTGAACCGTGAAGAAACTTCTCGCGCGCATTCATCGGTTCACTACCCAAGCCTGATTCTCAAAGTAGACTTGAAACATATTCCAGATCTATATGTTGATGAGTACCGCTAAGTCGGGCTCATCAGTGAGTGTGAGGATAATGATACCAGCTTATGTTGTGTTTTTATCTTTTCTCTTTTCTTTTTCTGGTTCTTCGTTTGTTGCCAAATAATCAATATCAACAACATCATAACCAAATATAGTGACGTAGAATCCTCCGATCTGTCTAGTAGTGATTCCGAAGATCTGTTAGATGAAATAGTTATAGCATCAGCCCGTATCGACGATCCCGCCCATTACGACCCACTGAGCTCGCCGATACATTACTGTGACAATAACGTTCAGTCGGACGATAACAGCAATAGTAATACAATCATTCGTATAGATTCGATCGAGTCCCAGGGCTCAACGTCGTCGTCCACTGGCTCGATACAGCTGCAGCAGTTGAATCCATCGTCAGCGTACAAGAACCTCAAGTCCCGCCGTATGGAGTACAGCCGGCGGGGTATGATCCTCGGTCTGAGCAATCCCTCGCAGGATTCCGCTTTTGGTTCCATGACCGACGGCGAATCGTCCCGAGCGTCCAGCTTTAAACTCAGCAGCTTTGCTTCGATGAATTCACCGATTGACGAAGGGGTTGAAGATATACTGGCGGAGAATGAAACGGAAACCATCGCAACCACCATGGCAGGGCTGAAGTATATCGATTCAGCAGGTTCTTCGCCCTGCCACGATCATCAAGCGAGCATTTCGCCCAGAGATACGCAACCAGGTTCGTCGTCTTCTCGTGATATCTCACCGAACCATTCAGCTCGATACCTAGAACCTCCAAAACTAGTGATAAACAATCATTCATCTACAACGACCAACGCCTCGCTATGCTATACATCATCGCCACTCCGTAAATGTGCCACAACGGAAGTATTCTCGCAAAAATACAGGGTATCTTCGTTCGAAGACATGTCCTATACGTCCCGCTTGGCCAATAAATCTATCAAAAATAGCACTCGTAAGATTTTCCGTTCGTTTGAAGAGGAACGCCGTATCGATTCCGCTTTTATGCCTATTGACACTAGTTCCACCAGCATCAGCAGTCGACTAAATCAACATCAGCTGCAACCTAAGCCACGTCAACAATCAACATCGACGCTTCATCATCAACTATCTTTACCCCCAACGCTAACGCCGACTTCTCCCAAACAACTCATAGCTCCCGCTCAGTACAATCAACTAACGAAGAAGAAGAATGCTTCGTTCCAAAATCTACAAAGTCTAGCAACTCCCCGGGATAAAACCTACCAGTGGCGAAACAAGCTAATCAAATCCAACGAATGTTTGTTCGAGACATCCTTCAACATGTCGCCCTCGTCGACGACTCAGAGTGAGATAGACCGATTGCTGAGTCACGGCAGTTCGACGCATGAACTTCCCACCACTTCGGCTGCAGCGGAGATTGAGCGATTTATCCTGACCCCCGAGCCGGTAGTCATGAATCCCCGGCGAACACGTGCCGATCGACAGCAACTGTTCAGTTTGGCCAAATTCAAGCACAGCACCATCCTCGACAGTATCTCGTTAGAGGACTTCTCCGAAGAAGGCAAGCGAGAAAGCGATCCAACCACCAGCAGTATGTCGAACTGTTCAACCAAGAGCTTCTCCTGGGACGATCGTACCGAAATCGAGGCCAGAAAGTTGGAAAGCTCCTCTACCGACGACACCAGCGATCAGGACAGTAGCAGTGTTACGGATTCGCTGCTTCGATCTCCCATCGTTAAGCACGACCAGCGGAGCATCCGCAGTGGCGGAAGTGGTAGTAGCAGTGCGGCCGAAGCCCGAAAGTATCTCGATGACACTGCGGCCAATGAAGGAGGCTTCGGCAGTGGCAACGAGGAAAAGACACCCCTTCTCGAGGGCATGGAACTGTCCCCCATCTCACCTACTGAGTCGGAACAAATGTTGTGATAATATAATAGTAGCGGCGTAAACTATTTTTCTACCGATTTTAATTCTGTTCAATATGAGGTACTAGTCTAGGGATGCAGAATAAATAGAATCAAATCTAATTTTAGGCGAACGAACAGTGGCAGTGTTTAAAATCGAATGTTTAGCTCCGTTTCGGAGAACCCCGTGCGAAGAGTGAAGGACGGTACTCGTGGTACCACGGAAGAGAGAATGGATAATTCACGATGAAAATACAGGTCTTTTAGGGAAACTTTTAGTCAAATATTCTCCGAATATTAAACAGAGTATAGCGGCAACAGATGAAAATGTGCAAATCGAGATATATTTGTTCATCGACGAACACGGTAGCTCAATTTTACCACGCGCAGTCTCTTCACATCACACAATGTAAGGAACGAGTTTTAACCGGGATGACCCTAGTCTCTCGAACAAAATATTAAATTAAACTTTCCAATTCTCCCAAGTACAATTCTATAGAGCAAAATCACTAGCTGAAAGAAAGTTAACTGAGATTAGAAGAGACTAAAACTATAGGATACTAATTCTAAAACTGAATTCTTCGGTTCCGATGCGTAGTGGATAAAAAACGAGTTTCGAGGCAATGCCAATTGATTAAACGGTGGATAACAATCTCATTGAGTTAAGTGAAAATCATGCAGTAGAGAATAATTTTAAAAACCACATGATCCCTAACGAAGTCACAGTTAGTTCATTCTAGTTTCAAGAATGTCCAACCGCTGAAGTTCTACGTAAATGTTAGAAATCCAGAAACTCTGGCATTTCTAGACAGTTTCAAGAATTAAGAGCCCGTTGTAACGATGTTGTCAATACATCCTCTACCATCTCCGTTGTAGGGTAACATTTTAAATGGATAAAATATATTTTTATTGCACACACTTAGAAATACCTAATCTTACACGTGACGGAATCCATCTTTGACATAAAAGATGAAACGTAAACAAACATGTCATGTAAAATTAAGTGCTCCGAGACTGAGAAGTTCGAAAGTACGTTTGATTGAGCTGACTTTCACGTCTTTTATGACTCAATCTTATGTCAAAATTGACGCTCGTATATGTCAGTCTCAAAGTACCTAAATTTACATGATTTTTTTCTAAGTGTGCAACTACGGTAGAATCTTCAGTTATCATTCCGTCTGCTGCTTCGACATACTGTGCAACTGGTGGATTCATAGACTTTTCTTCCGAATCCTCCATAAGATAACTGAGCTTGTTTAATAAGGCCATTCTTCTTTTCCATGTTTCATTTCTGCTGTCAGGTATTCACATCAATTGAGTAACACGACCACGCCGTTACCAACGACTTTCCCTGTTCAGCAACCAGAACAAACCTGAATCATGGCTTGGTCAGCTGCAACAATTTCTCCGGTTGCTCAATAGTCTTTGCTTCTGTTCTATTACCTTACTTCTACTTACTAGAGAATATCTTTTTTTCATTTCTTGAGTGTAGTTCTTGAAGAAGTTTTGTTTTATAATGTCAGCGGTGATCTTCGTTCCGGAGTTCTAGATAACCATAATCATTGGCCGATAATTTTCTGTAAGTCCTGCAAAACAATGTTAGAATTGTTTACGAAATTTCGCTAAGTTCAAGAGAAAAAATCGCGAGTCATAGTGAGTTTTCACGGACTTTACCTTTGATTCCTACCCATTTCTTGGATATCTGAAGTCCAACGCCTCTTGATGTGTAGTTGACATGATGTGGGTCACATACGTTTCCATTGTGTCGCAGTTTGAAAGACTCTTCGTAATCAGTTTTCTCAGTGGTCCAACTCACCCTGAAAGCCCGTTTTGTTCAAACGCCGCTTCCACCTCCACCCAGATTTCGCTAGCAGATTCCTTCACATGTACGATCATCCATCTATCCATCTATCATATTGATTTCCAGATACTTCCCGGCCCTTCTTCGTTGGGTACATACCAGTTATAGCGACCAGCCGTTCAACTGATGGAAAACTAGACAAATGTTGCATCTCCTGCTTCTGGATGTGGATTTATTTTACAACCACCAGAACAATTCGAATTGTTTCAAAAAATAACCTATACCGTAGAAAACTACCGTTTGGTTTGACAACGTTGCAAGGAATACACGAATTTATGTTTTATGAAAAAAAACTAAAACGACTAGAATATACAATATGATCCCTGTGAAAACTTGTCATCTAGCAGCCATGGTAGCCAATACGCACATCACAGTCATTGCTAAAAACTTCGCATGACTTTTGTGTTGGTCACGTTTGTTAATATTCGTGGAAAGCTATCAAAGACATTATAAAATGAGAAGAATTTAATGGACATAATGACGTCCGTTCAAATATAACGTAACGCAAGAGGAGATGGAGGTAGTCTGGCAACGCGTTACCCGCCTTGTATTAGGTACAGAAAAATGCATTATGGAAAGTGGCGGTTACTCAAAAACCAGCTGTTTGCGTTACGTAATATTTGGGTATGTAGAATCACTGCATAGAAACAAGAGAAAATTTTCGCACACTTTGCTTCTGAGGTTGACATCTTTGCTACCAGATTAGTTGAGAACTTTTAGCTTTGTGTGGTAGTTGACGAGAGCGTGACTGTCTCTTAGCGTTTGCATAAGAAAGCATGAAGGAGCTCAGTCTGCTCGATATGTTATCTTTCTAACTGTGTTTATCTTCCGTAGTCGATCTCAAATTCTCAGAAAAACTTCAGCTAAGTAAATTCTCAGATTTATGAGGAAAACCAAGAAACCCACAATGTTTTAAGGATACAAATCATTTGAGGAAAAACCTTGAAGTATAGGTAAATCGTGAATATGTTTGTGTATAAAGAAAGAAGAGATAACATTTAATTCCACTACCTTTAACGCTTATCTTCGACTGATATGCGTGTTGCAGACTTCTTCAGTGTTTAGAATTCAATAATTTGATAAGTCATTAAATCGTTCGATCAGGTTGGGTAGCCACCTTGAAATAACTATGTTCTCTTGTTGCACTTGCTAAGCTAAAATGCAACAAAGCTAAGATGCAAAAATTGGAAAATCACCTCAGATCGTTATTATCCACTACGAGCGGGCTAAAACTGATGTCCAACATAACTTTACCGAGAATGCAATCGTGTAGCAAAACAAATAAAGAAGAAGAAAACTTGCAGAAAATGTCAATCAACTACAGTAATCAGTATTCATACAATAAATTAAATGATAAATTGAAGCAACTATCTTCAACCAAATAAAAGCCTCTAGCCATAAATGGATGCTACTACTAGTCCTTAGAGCCGTATGGAAGCTAAAGTCCAGTGATCACACACGTCTATATACATACTTATATTTTCGTAACTACATAAGACAGGTCAAAAATGGAGGTATAATAAATTAGACCGATAGGATGATTATTATTCACGAGCATCATCGATTGTTATAATTTTATAAGTCTACGTATATTGAAATCCCTGAGGAAAAGTTGTTAAGAAATTCGTAATTTTAACAAACCAAGAGATAAGCATAATAGCGATTAGGAAATTTCGATTAAAAATTGCCAAATCTTCCTATTGTGTTTTGCTATGAATATACCGTTCCATCATGAAATTGCAACATGGCCATCGAACTAATGCTTGCAAAGCGTTCACAATTCGCGATTTCAAACCCATTCCCAACATAAGGAAAAAAACAGCGATGCTTACTTTTTCTTGCAACCCGAAGACTCTCTCGGGAATGATATACAGATTATGAAAATAAAAAAAATTAAAATAAAACACTCTTGAGCCGTCCCAATGAGATCAATTACTTTCTTGCTTCGTGTATACGGTGATACACAAATTGAAAAAATGGACAAAAAGAAAGATCCAGTCCTCTTTTTCATCTTTTGCTACACGGCAAATGAGAGTAACTCAGTACCTTAGTCGAAATTGTAAAATGCAAGGGTGTGTGTGTGAGTGAGTAAAATTTTCTTGGATTATTCAGAAAAAAAAAATCCTTGAATATGATGAAAATCGAGAGATTTTTCATTCAGTCTATTAGTGTACTACTATACTGAGTAAAATTGTCGTCGATTTTCCTCACATTCAATTAGTTTTTCCTGGAAAAGTAAGAAAATTTTCACATTCACTTAGGTACTTCACTTTTTCCAATTTTGTGTAGAAATCGACTCAGTTACTGAATTACTCTCATTGGCCGTGTATGTCCAGGCTAAGCAGTTATAACATGTTATAAGTTATCTTGATAACATTTTCCTTGTCACTAATGATTATAACATGTCATAGCTCTGTAGTCTGAACAAGGCATTACACTCCTTATGTAATGGTAATGATGTTAAAGTGTGAAACAATATACCTATGAGAATAAATAAAGCCAATGTGCACATACGTCGTTTATGAATTATTTGCAAAAAAGCTTTTTTTTTACTAACTTAAGATACTTTTTATGTCAACTTTAAGAAGCGAAAGGAAAAACGAAGACAAAGTTGCATGGATCATTTTTCTCCAAATCGATTTACATTAGAAAAGAAAATGCGAGAACGAAAACCTAGGCAACCAAATTTAAAAACAAAAATAATTGTTACCATAAAAAGTTTTAAAATTTTATCACAAATTCAAGCAAAACTTTAAACATGATGAGTATATAGTCTCTCTTGTAATAGCAACCGTTAAGCAAATAGCAGTATCTACAACAAATTTCATTTCTGGGTCCAAACTACATCAACAAAGCGATAAAAGAAACGAACAAAGCAAAAGACATAACCAATTTTTTTGAATTAATTTGCCTACCAGATAACCCCATTTACAACTCAATCCAGATGAAGTACATACCCACACATCCACACATGCAGATTCAAAACAACACCTGAGCTGATGCAGAAATAGTAGAACTTAAAGATCAACCCAACAGAATGCAATAGTCATTAAAGATTTCAAACGAAACAAAAACCCATATATTCCGAGCTTGATATTTAGAAAACGAGAAGCTAGAGAGAGAGAGGAGAAATACATCCTTCATCATTACGACATACCAAGTGACAACAA